GGAAGAGGGCAGGGGGTGGGGTTGGGAACCTCGAGGGACCCAGCACCCGGCCCGCCGCCCAGAGGAGTTCGGGGATGTTCGCCGCCGGCCGGCGCCCTTCAATACCCCCCGCGCCTGAGCGCTGTGCCCCGCAGCTGTTGCCTAGGGTTAGGGGAGGAGGAGTAACGCCACACCCATGCTTTTGGGGACAGTCAGGAGCCTGGGGAAGGGCGGTGGGAGGACTGCGGGGGAGGGGCTTAAGCCTCTTAAGGTTGAGTCCGTATTTAACACCGCTTTCCACCCCCGCCTGCGAGGTTTCCTGGGGTCTCTCCGCTTGCTCCACCTGTCACCCCTGCCTGCCCTGCTTCTGTCCACTCCAGGACATTCCCCCACCCCCAAGTCCTTAGCCCACCAATGTCAGGATCAGACTTCAACACTGAAGGCTTTCTCCCTAAGCGAGAGGCTGCCTGGCCCTTTCCCAGACTTGGGCCTCCGGCGTTCTCCCTTCTGATGCCTTTTTTTTCCACTTAGCCCCTCTGTCTGGGTAGATCTTTGACTCAATCGCAGAAGAATGCCGTGCACTCTATAACAAGCGGAAGGGCTGGATGTGTTTATTCTGAGAGGCCTTGAGTAAGGGGTGGGGGTGGGGCGGTGGGGCAGTGGTGCGGCCGTGCTGCGAGTCTGTGGGCTGTGTTGTGATCTGTGGGCGCTGCGGGCTGTATGAACACACGGTTGTGCGTCTGCTGTTTGGAGGAGGAGATTGTGGGATTGTGTGTCCACGTGCGACTCTGCGTGTGGGGTACATGTCTGTGTGTGGACATGTGGACATGTGACTGTATAATCTGGGAGGGAGGGATGTGATTTTGTGTGTGGTGATTGTGCCGGTTGTGGGGTGTCCATGTGGCCAGCTGTTGTGACTGTGCTGGGGTGTGTGTATGGTTTTGTGTGTGTGATTGTGACAGGGCAAGTGACAGGGCACTGAAGCATGTGAGTGTGGGAGCGGGTGCTCACAAGCAGATGTCCTGTCTCTGTGATGGGGGCCTGCATATGTGGTCCTTAATCCATGCTTCTGAGTGTGCTGCCTCGGACAGTATATTTAGATCTCTCTGTCTAGTGCGAGGGGGTGGGAGATTAACACCCAGGGCATCCAAATACACCCTTGTATGGTATGCACGAGAAAAAGTCGGGTTTTGGAGGCTGCTGGTCATTTTCTGACTTACCTCTAAAATATTCCAGGGGAGGAGGTTGGCAGAGCCTCAGTGGCTGGTCGTTTGACAGCGGCTGCCAGTCAGGGGGGTGTGGAGAGAACAAGGGAAGGGCCTGCCAGCAGCACTGTTTGCTGCCGTGCTAGGCAACAGGCAGCGAGTGTGACATTAAGACGGGCTGTCTCTTCCCCTCCAACCCCTAGCTCAGGACCTGGTCCCTGGCAGTCCCCAAGACTGAATTCCTTAACCCCTCTCCACCTTCCCTTAGCCCTTCTTTATCTGAATCCCCCAGGGTCCCAAGAACACCTCCAGGCCATTGTTCTTGCTGTTCCCTCTGCCTAGAACACCCTTCCAGCTCTTCATGTCCCAGTTTCTACTCTTCTTCAGGTTTCAGCCTACCTGTCATCTCCTTAGAAAGGCCTTCCCTGACGTGCGCCTCCCCCTCACAAATGTCTAACCACTTACCGTGTGTCCCGTTACCGTTTATTTTCTGTACAGCATGTACTCCCATCTTTAATAATACTGCTCATTTTCCATTTGTTCCTTTTCTGTTTCCCCCACTAGAACAGAAGCCCCATGAATGCAGGGACTTTGTATTTCTTATTCACTGTTGTGTCCCCAGGCCCCAGCACAGGACCTGGGACCTAGTAGGATCTCAAAAACATTGTTGGAAAAAAAAATTGTTGAATGAATAAAGGAAGATGGACGGTCCTACCTAGGCCAATCCAGGCAACATTTGATACCTGCTGTGTGCCAGGCCTGGGCCACTCACCACTAAGGAGACCCAGTGAACTTAGGGAAATGGACATGCACATGTGCCCATACTGTGTATACCAAGGCAGAATGAGGTCAGTGAGGCCATGGGATGCAGTTGACTTGGCAAACATGAGCATTTGGCCTGTGTGAGGCCCTGTGTTAGAGCAAATGGCCTTCTTTGGCCCAGGCCTCTGCCTGCAAAGAGCTCACAGTATAAAGACTGTTAGAATTGTCCCCTAGGGAGACAAACCCATGCAGAGAATAATGCCAAATCACTGAGCTGAGTGATGTGCTAGGCATTGAGAACCAAGGAAACCAGGGATGGGAGAGACTAACTCCAGGACTGGGGACAGCCTTGTGGATGAAGTAATCTGGGCCTGGAAGGAGAGAAAGGGTGTTCCAGCATCAGGCACAGATGCTTAGAGAGATAAGTACAGCCACTTGGTCTCTCAGCCCCTCTGCAAAGCTAAGTCCAGGAAGAGAAGAGAGCCCCCAGGCTGGGCTGGCTACTCTTTGCCTAATTTCCATTTTCAGTGCTCTCTGCTCTGCTCTGTGTCCTGGGATGTCCTGGGATGTCCTGGGACTGGCTCCTGCTGACAGTCTCACCTGGGCCCTCCACCTTATGGTTTCAGGTAAAGTGTGGCCATTAGGAGACACTGCCAGGAGATCAGAGGGAAGGAGGAGAGTGAGATCAGGACAGTTATAATACTGTGATTCAGGCAGGTACTCTGTTCCTCCACTAAAAGCCACGGCTCCTGTTGGGTGGCCTGTACCCACAGGCATGACTCCCGCCAGGTTCATTAACAAGGTTCCCTTCCCTTACTTCTTTAGGCCCTTGGAGTAGTGACTGTTCCACTGTTGTGAGCCCCAGGGTATTTCACCGTGCCTTCCCTCATCTCTGTAAATTGTTCCTTCTTTAAACCCTCTTCTGGCAAATGCTTTTTAGTCTTCCCCTGTTTCCTGCTGAAACCACTAAAGTAAGAACTAAACCTAGGGAAGATGAGCCCTTGGCAGAGAATTTGGGGAGAACTTTTTTCTAAATCACCACCCAAAACCAGGTTCAGAAAAGTTGTGAACTACTACAATGCTACAGTAATCAAAACAGTATGGCACTGACTAGTATAAAAACAGACACATAGATCAATAGAACAGAATAGAGAGCCCAGAAATAAACCCACACAATTACTGTCAATTAATCTATGACAAGGGCAGCAAGAATATGCAATGGAGAAAATACAATCTCTTCAATAATTGGTGCTGGGAAAACTGGACAGTTACATGTAAAAGAATGAAATTAAAACATTTTCTCAAACCATATACAAAAATAAACTCAAAATGGATTACAGACCTAAATGTAAGACTAGAAATGATAAAACTCCTAGAAGAAAATGTAGGTGGAACACTCTTTGACATAAATCATAGTAATATTTTCTTGTATCTGATTCCTAAAGCAAAGGAACTAAGAGCAAAAATGGGATCTAGTTAGACTTAAAACCTTTTGCACAGCAAAGGAGACCATTAAGAAAACAAAAAGACAACCTGCTGAATGGGAGAAGATATTTGCAAGCCATATGACCAATAAGGGGTTAATATCTAACATTTATTAAAGGTCATACAACTCAACATGAAAAAACAAACAATCCAATTAAAAAATGGGATGAAGAACTGAATAGATATTTTTCCAAGGAAGACATTCAGATGGCCAACAAGGACATGAAAAGATGTTCAACATCATTCATCATCAGAGAAAAGCAAATTAAAACCACAATGAGATATCACTTCACACCTGTCAGCATGACTATCATCAAAAAGACCACAGATAACAAATGCTGGCAAGGATGTGGAGAAAAAAAACTCTAATACACTGTTGATGAAAATGTAAATTGGTGCAGGCACTGTGGAAAATGGTATGGTGGTTCTCAAAAAAACTAAAAATGAAACTACTAGATGACCCAGCAATTCCACTTCTGGGTCGATGTCCAAAAAAACCCCTAAAACACTAATTCTGAAAGACACATGCACCCCAGTGTTCATAGCAGCATTATTTACAATTGCCAAGATACGAAAGCAACCTAAGTGTCCATCAACAGATGAATGGGTATTAAATTATTAAAACAAAAAGTATTTTTCAATGTATTTGCTAGTGCTGAATTGGATTTTTTTTAAATAAATGGAAAATTTTGGTGTCCAAAAAAACAGATGAATGGATAAAGATGTGATGCATATATACAATGGACTATTACTCAGCCATTAAAAAGAATGAAATTTTGCCATTTGCAATAAAATGGATGGACTTGGAGGATATTATGCTAAATGAAATAAGGCAGACAGATAAAGACAAATACTGTATGATGTCACTTATATGTGGAATCTGAAAAATAAACTATTGAATATAACAAAAAGGAAACAGAATCACAGTTACAGAGAACAAACTAGTGGTTACCAGTGGGAACAGGGAAGGAGGAGGGGTAAGATAGGAATAGGGGATTAAGAGGTACAAACTATTATGTATAAAATAAATAAGCTACAAGGATATATTTAAACAGGAAATATAGCCAA